CACATTAATAGGTAAAGAAGAAAAACCATATGATTACCTCAATGAATACAGAAAAAGAACTTGATAAAATTCAGCACACATAATTGTTAGCAGACTGAAAACAGAAGGGAACTTTCAGAAAGTATTTAAAAATTTACAATAAACATTATACTTAGTGGAAAATTACTTAAAACTTTTCTCCAGTGATCAAGAGTAAGACAAGAATGCCCACTTATACTATTTCATTTCAGTGTTTTACTGCAGGTTCTAAGCAGTGGAATAAAGCAAAGAAAAAAGGCACAGTAATTGGAAGGGATGAAATAAGAGGTCTTTGTAAAAAAAAAAAAAATGACAATGGGGCTTCCCTGGTCGCTCAGTGGTAAAGAATCCACCTGCCAATGCAGGAGACACAGTTTTGACCCCTGATCTGGGAGGATCCCACAGGCCTCAGAGCAACTAAGCCTGTGTGCCACAGCTCTTGAGCCTGTGCTGTACAGCCCGGGAGTAGCTCACCTACCCAAGCCAGACTGCCCTGGAGCCCATGCTCTGCAAGGAGAGAAGCCACCACAGTGAGAAGCCCACCCACACAATTAGAAAGTAGCCCCTGACTGAGGCAACTAGGGAAAGACCTTGCAGCAACGAAGACCCAAAACAACCAACTAAATAAATAAATATGGTTATTTTTTTAATGACATGATTGTATGCATTAAAAGTCATAAAGAATCCACAGACTGTTAGGATTAATAAATGAAGTTAGTAATGCCACTGGATATAAGGTCTACATGCAAATAATAATTGTATTCCTATGTAGCAACAAAACCCAGAAAATGAAGAATTTCAAGTTATCATTTACAAGTTTCAGAAATAGCAAACATCTAGAAACAAATCTAACAATATCCATAAAACTTATACACTGAAAAATATAAGATATTATTGAGAAAAGTTAAGTATCTGAATAAACAGAGGGATATATTATGTTCCAATACTGGAAGACTCAATACTGGGAATATGTCAATTCTTCCCAATCTATAAATGCAGTTAAATCCTAAACAAAACTTTAGCATGTTTCTTTGTGAAAGGTAACAAGATGAATCTAAAGTTTATATGAAGACTTCCCTGGTGGTCCAGTGGTTAAGGTACCATGCTCCCAATGCAGGGGGCCTGAGAATCCCTGGCCAGGGAACTATTAATAGATCCCACATGCTGCAACTAAAACTCCACATGCCACAACTAAGACCAGGCACAGCCAAATAAAAATACTAAAAAGATAATAAAAATAAAGTTTATAGGGAAATACAAAGGGACAATAATAACTAAAACAATTTTAAAGAGTAAAACTGGAAGACTTACCAATCAGATAATAAAACCTATTATGAAGTATAGTAATTAAGAAGACAATATGGTACTGCAGGACTTCCCTAGGCGGTACAGTGGATAAGACTCCACATGCCAACTCAGGGGACATGGTTTCGATCCCTGGTCAGGGAAGATTCTGCATGCTGTGGAGTAACTCGACTGCCATAACTACTTACTCCATGCTCCAGAGCCCATGAGCCTCAACTACTGAGCCCACGTGCTGCAATTACTGGAGCCCATGCACCTAGAGCCTGTGCTTTGCAACAAGAGAAGCCACTGCAATCAGAAGCCCGTGCACGGCAACAAAGAGTAGCCCCCACTCCCCCCAACTAGAGAAAAGCCTGCATGCAGCAACAGAGACCCAGTGCAACCAGAAATTAATTAAAAACTGGTATATCTGTATAGTGAATTATTACTTAAAAAGCAATATGGTATTGCAGGATAAACAAAGAGAAAAATGGGGGGGAAAGACTTCTACAGAACTATGGACCCCTGATTTATGAAGAAATGATACATCAGAAAATAATTGGGAATGCAGCTTCTTTTCAATAGGTGGTGTGGTCATTTGGATATTTATATGAAAAAAAGCAATTTGACCCTAACCTCATTAACATGAAAAAATTAATTTCAGGAGGATTACAGCTCCATGGACTGAGGATCCTGGTAGGCTACAGTCCATGGGGTCGCAAAGAGTCGGACAGGACTGAGCGACTTCACAGCTCTAAATGTGAAAAGTAAAGTAACTGATTTTTCAGAAGCACAATACAACAATACTTTCATGACTTTGGCACATGCAAAGATTTAAAGAAAATACAAAAACTTCAAACCGTAAATAAAAAATATTGGAAAATTAAGACTAAAAAGAAGTTTTGTTTTTCAAAGATATCTCAAGAAAGTTAAAATGCTAGCCATAGTTTGGGAGAGAATATTTGTAATACCTACTTCTAAAAAAGTACTTATACCAAGAATATATAAGGAACTTCTAAAGATCAATAAGAAAAAGGGCAAATACCTTAAATAGAAAAACAGACAAAAAACTTATGCAATTCACAAGGATATGCCCTAATAAAAATAACCATGTGAAAAATGTGCTTTATTTAAGGAATCATTGGGGAACCACTAATTAAAATTACAATGACATAAAATAAAAATAAAATTACAATATAACATCACACACTCATCAGAGTGTTTAAAATTAAAAGATAATATCAAATGTTGACAAGGATATGAAGCAACTGGAACTCTCTTTGCTAGTTTTCATAAAACCAGAGTTGAAAACTATTTTGCAATATCTATTAAAGCTGAAACAAAAAGATAAGTACGTGTGCATATCTTAAGGCACAGCAGTCTAACTCCTAGGAATATTAAATATAAATGAACACATAGACACCAAAAGACAAGAATGTTTATAGCAGGACTACTCAATATATACACAAACTGTAAAACCCTAATGTCAATCAACTGGAGAATAAATAAAAAATGGCGATACAATAGAATATCAAAGCAATGAAAATAAAACAATGTGTAACATGACTTTTACAAAGGTAAGATTGAGTGAAAGAAGGCAAACATACTCTATAACTCCATTTGTGTAAGTTAAAAAAAAGAAACTATGATACTATGACACACACATGATACTATAAGTCAGGAGAGTGCTTACCTTTATCTATCAGGGGAAGAGTAGTGACCAGACAATAACAAGAGGGGGCTTTTATGGTTTTTGTTAACATTTCAGTTTTACTTTATATTTGCTTATGAATGTGTTCACTTCCTGAACTTTGAGTTTTACACTCATGATTATGTCCTTCCCTGATATATTTTAAAATTTTATAATACTGTAAGATTCCAAACATCTATTATTACTTATTTCTTAATCAATTAAGGATCCAATAAGGGAAAGTTTCTTCTTGTGCTCAAAATGCACTTTCTGAGGAATACTAGGGTTTAAGTTTGTCCTGAAAAGTATTCTTTCACTGGAAGTTAACCTAGCACATGTTTTTTAAAAACGTCCAATAACTAAGAACTGGATATACAATTGGGAACAATTCTGTGACTTCAAATATATTGACTGCATATATATGAAATGAAACAGCAAACACTATATGCAATAGTATATAATGACACCTGGTGGCGCTGCAGGCTAGAAGTATAAATGGAGAGATTTGTGCCTGCCCGGGAAGCCATTAAACTGGGAATCAGAACTCCGATGCTTTCTAAAAGAAAGAAGCATTTTACATAAGATCTAGGCGTGGAGGACTCCAGAAAAGGGCATCGTCCTAGTGCAAGCCAGTCAGAGAGATTTAGGCGAGCTTATTTAACCAAATCACCTGGGTTGACTGTATATCAGGAGTTGAAGAAACTGCACCTTCTTGAACCGGGTTTGGGCAATGGAGAGCGCGGCAGGAGAAAGCTACGGAAAAGGCAAGTTCTCTTTCTTGATATATTGTTCCTCTTCTTGGAGGCTGGCTCTGAAAAAATTAGGTATTCCATGCCAGAAGAAACAAACAGTGGGTTTTTGTGGCCAACCTGGCACAAGACCTGGGTCTCAGGGTGGGGGAACTAGCCACGTGGGGGCGCGCGAATCCATTACAAAGGAAACAAACAGCTCTTGCAGCTGGATTGAACGACCGGCAATTTACTAATGCATAAAAAACTAGGAAGTGCTGAAAGGGGCGACACATCCTTGTATACTGCATTTCCAACTATTACTGGAAAACCCGGTGCAGATTATTCAAGCTGATCTGCATCACACGGATATAAATGACCATTCTACAGCGTTCCTAGAGAGAAATGCTCCTAAAAATCCCCGGAAGCGTCCAGACAGGGACTGTTTCCTTTGAAAATAGATCAGGACTTTGACATAGGTAGCAACACGGATCAAAACTACACAGTCAGCCCCAACTCCCATTTTCGTGTTGTCACTCACCATCGTGGAGATGGCAGAAAATACCCAGAGCTGGCGCTGACAAAGCACTGGATCAGGAGAAGCAGCCTGAGCTTCTCACCGCGCTGGGATGGTGGGGCTCCGCCAAGGTCTGGGACCACTACAGTCCGCATCGAAGTCGTGGACATTAACGACAATGCCCCCAGAGTTTTTACAGTCCGTCTATGAGGTACAGATTCCATAGAACAGCCCCCTAAACTCCTTAGTTGTCGCTGTCTCTGCCAGAGATGTAGATGCAGGAACACATGGGAAAGTAGCCTATGCTCTATTCCAAGGAGATGAAGTTACTCGACCATTTGTAATAGACGAAATAACAGGAGAAATTGGTCTGAAAAGGGCATTGGATTTCGAGGCAGCTCGATTTTATAACGTGGAGATTGCAGCCACAGACGGCAGGGGCCTTTCAGGAAAATGCACTGTAGCCATAGAAGTGGTGAATGTGAACGACGACGCCCCTGAACTGACCATGTCGAGATTCATCAGCTCTAGCCCAGAAAACTCCCCAGAGACTGTGGTGGCCGTTTTCAGTGTTTCTGATCCAGATTCCAGGAACAACGGTAAGATGGTTTCCTCCATTCAGAATGATCTCCCCTTTCTCTTGAAACCCACGTTCAAAAACTTTTACACCCTGGTGACAGACCGCTAGACAGAGAAAATCAAGCCGAGTACAACATCACGATCACGGTCACTGACAATGGGAACCCCCAGACTGAAAACCGAGCACAACATAACCATGCTGGTGTCCGACGTCAACGACAATGCCCCCGCCTTCACCCAGACCGCCTACACCCTGTGGGTCCGCGAGAACAACGGCCCCGCCCTGCACATCGGCAGCGTCAGCGCCACAGACACAGACGCGGGCGCCAACGCCCAGGTCACCTACTCGCTGCTGCCGCTGCCCGACCCACACGTGCCCCTCGCGAGCTCCGTCGTGTCCATCAACCCCGACAACGGCCACCCCTTCGTCCTCACGTCCCTGGACTACGAGGCCCTGCGGGCCTTCGAGTTCCGCGTGGGCGCCGCCGACCGCGGCTCGCCCGCGCTCAGCAGCCAGGCGCTGGTGCGCGTGCTCGTGGAGGACGCCAACGACAACGCGCCCTTCGTGCTCTACCCGCTGCAGAACGCCTCGGCGCCCTGCACCGAGCTGGTGCCCAGGGCGGCCGAGCCCGGCTACCTGGTGACCAGGGTGGTGGCGGTGGACGGCGACGCGGGCCAGAACGCCTGGCTGTCGTACCAGCTGCTCAAGGCCACGGAACCCGGGCTGTTCGGCGTGTGGGCGCACAACGGCGAGGTGCGCACGGCGCGGCTGCTGAGCGAGCGCGACGCGCCCAAGCAGCGGCTGGTGGTGCTGGTCAAGGACAACGGCGAGCCGCCGCTGTCGGCCAGCGTCACGCTGCACGTGCTGCTGGTGGACGGCTTCTCGCAGCCCTACCTGCCGCCCCCGGAAGCGGAAGCGGCGGCCGCGGCGCCGGCCGACCCGCTCACCGTCTACCTGGTGGTGGCCTTGGCGTCGGTGTCGTCGCTCTTCCTCTTCTCGGTGCTGGTGTTCGTGGCGGTGCGGCTGTGCAGGAGGGGCGGGGCGGGCTCGGCGGGTCGCTGCCCGGTGCCCGAGGGCCACTTCCCGGGCCACCTGGTGGACGTCAGCGGCACGGGGACCCTGTCGCAGAGCTACCAGTACGAGGTGTGCTTGACGGGATGCTCGGGATTCAGTTCAGTTCAGTCGCTCAGTCGTATCCGACTCTTTCCGACCCAAAGAATGGCAGCATGCCAGGCCTCCCTGTCCGTCACCAAGTCCCGGAGTTTACTCAAAGTCATGTCTATCGAGTTGGTGATGCCATCCAGCCATCTCATTTTCTGTCGTCCCCTTCTGCTGTCTCCAATCCCTCCCAGCATCAGGGTCTTATCCTGAGGATTAAATGAGTTTAAATTCTTAAAGCCGATTCTCCCCAACCTCCCGCCCGAGGACGCTGTTGAATAGAGGGAAATGCCAATTTTCGGAATAGCTTTGGTTTCAATTAGGGATCTCATCATGATTCGAGGTATTTGTCATTTATCTGTAATTCCCCAGATGCAAAATTTGAGAACCTCATGGAGAAAAGTCACACATTCAGGTATAGGATTGATTTCCCTTTTACAATGAACTTGTGCAATTTTGGAAAACTCAGTTCGAGTCTTAACTGTTTTTGTTTTAGCGTGCCATTCCAAATCCTTGCATGCTGTTGATTTTCCTGAAATTTTTGCTTTGTTTTGGTAATTTTTGCAACACTGAAATATTCTTTTCTCTACATTCATTTTGCTTCATCACACTCTAAAAGTTTATTTAATGCTAAATAATAAAAATTTAAACTGTTTACATAACATTTGTTTTGTTTTCAAAGGAATATGTGCAATAAATATGGAAGAAAGCATGATGTAAACCAACACTGTTCTGTTTACACTCCCTAGCTCTCATCCTACTGGAAAATAATTTTTAATGCATATTTCCATGGAATTATTACATACAGAAAAATGGACAAATCCTTAATACAGCTCACTGTATTTTCAGAAAATGAACATACTTGATATCAGCATCTTGAAGAAATGAAACATTATTAGTATCCCAAGTACTACACAAATTACCCCTTAAAATCACTGCCACTTCAAACATAACAGATAACTCAATACCCAATGCTATACCTGTTTTGCCTGTTTTGAATTTATATAAATGAAATAGTAGAGTGTGAACTGTTTTGCATCTTGTGTCTTTAACTCAGCAATATGTTTATGACATTTATCCATAATACTGTTTTTAATTTTAGTTCTTCATTCTTGTTACTGTATAGTATTCCACTGTGAATATTTCACAATTTATAACCCCTCCTACTGTATGTTGATATTTGGGTTGGTGTAAGGTTTGGCTGTTTGAATAATACTGCTATAAACATTGTCATACATATCCTTCAACAGACAAGTATGTGCATTTCTGTTCTGTATATACCTAAGGTGGAGTTGCTGCTCATTCAGTAAGTGCACGTCCACTTTTAGTAGATATTTCCAAATAGTTTTTCAAAGTGGTTGTACCCGTTTACACTGACTGCTGTCAGCAGCATATGGATGTACCAGTTCCTCAACATTCTTGCCAACATCTGGTATTATCTGTTTTTTATTTTATCCCTCTGGAAAGCACTTTTAAACCTTTTTCTTCTAGCTTTTTAAATACTTTCTTCTCACTAAAGAATATGCTTGTAACTTTTTCATAAACCAATTTCACTCTATTGTTGTTGGTATCCTATACACTTTAATTCCCTCATCCATATAGTTATCTCATTATTTTCTCTGCTCAAACTGAAACCTCCACTTATTATCCCACTAACAACCATTTATTATTTTCTTGTATGAAAGAAATTAATAGAATTATTATTTTTCCTTTTGTTTCTCCCTTACACTTTCAAACCTCTCAAAAATGAGTTTTTACTTCTATATAGTCAGGATTAATGGTACTTTTTACTCTTTGACAATAGTTAAGAGTTTCTTGTTTTGTTTATAGGTGTCTTAAAACCTGAAAAGCAATATTACAAATTTATCTTTAATGACCATATAAATTATGAATGCAGCTAAAGATCACCAGGAACACATTTATCAGAACAAAGTTGGGTTTACTAACTTATAATGAGGGAGACTGCACACCATGGAGAACCATTGATCAATGCACATAAAAGCATCCTACCAAGGAGTTAGAGGATCTGGGCTTAGGTGATTTGGGGTAGGGCTCAAGGAAATCTCCTTTTCTTTTTTAAAAATTCCATCTCTTTGCTACAGTATATACCCTCAAGTGGCTTTTTAAGAGAAGGTGCACAAATACAGACTTTCTGTATCTCTGCATATCTAAAAATGCAGTTTTCACTTCTGCTTCATTGCATACATATACATTCAATATACATTCTAACAATTCATGTCTTGTCATATCTGAGATTATTTCATCTCTAGTATTATTTCCTTAATAGTTGTATTCCTAGCTTATTTTTTCTGAGGCTTGAGCTTGTTGGATATTGAACAATTTAAATAATTTCTCTATGTTTCTTATATTTCTCCTGTATATCTTTGGTTTTCCCTCTATATCCTCATTTAACATCTTTCAGTCACCTTGAGTATTTTTATTAAATTTTCAATTTTAATGGAGTATTTAAATCCCTAGGTGTTTTCTTATTATCTGGTTGTGTCTTTTCCATAGTAGCACTTGGAATTTTCAAAGTTCGTTTTATTTTCTAAATGATCTGTTTCCTGGAGTTCCCATTTCTTTTTTGTGTGTTCTGTGTAATTTTTGGTTTTCCTAAGTCTGGTGAGAGATATGTTCATATGTAAGAAAAAGAATTGAGTATCTGATAGGTACAATTGCTGTTTTGCTAGGTCTTATCAGCTTTTATGTGATAATGTAGTCTGCACTCAAGTTTCTGTCCTGAGTGGATTTTCTGACAAGGTGCTCCACGTGAGGCAGTGCAGAGCCAGGTTTATAAAATATCAGACTTTAAGAAGCATTGCGATGAATGGGCCAAGAACTCTTTTTAGGATGTGGCCCTGAAAGTGTTAGGATACAAAAATTTTATGCTGGGATTCCTAAAGTCTTCACTAAAATATTCTAGTGTTCTCCAAAAAAATTCCTTTTTATTTCTTAAGAAATGAGACAATGTTTTTGAAAGAAGGTCTGGAGGAAGGCTGCTGCAGGTGCTGCTGCTAAGTCTCTTCAGTCATGTCTGACTCTCTGCAGAGGAAGGCTAATAGTTATTAAAATTATATGTTACTTATATTTTTCATATTACATACGTTCTATGTACTTTACTGTTTTCTAAATTCTGTACACATACCTCATTTACTCGTTTAAATAATGGTACAATTGGTGAGCCAAGTTTAGAGATGAAGAAACTGAACAAACAGAGTTAAAGTAACTTGCCCAAGGCTATCTAGCTAATAAGTAGTGGAATCAGGATTTGACTCCAGGCAGCCTGACCCCAAAGACATCGCTTTTTTGTCTTTACTTTAAAAATTTTGAAATCTATTAAACATTCCAAAAAGTGTACACAATGTATATGTGCAATTGAAAAATAATAAAATGTTCATCATCTACTTAAGAATTAGAACACTGCCAAGACATTGGAAATCCTTGTGTGCCCCCACCATAACATCTTCCACTTGCATTAAAATCAACCACTATCCTGAATTTTTATTAATTACTTGTTATTCTTTGTAGTTGTATCAGAAATGCATATATTGCTAAATAATACATTGATCTTGTCTGTCTTTGATGTATCTTTGATCTGTTTGATCTCGTCTGATCTTGTCTGTCTTTGCAATTTATATAAATGGAATGATATAGTATGGACATCTGTGGCTTGCTTTTCTCATTCATTAGGGTATTGAACTCAGCAGTGTTAAATGCAGTTCATTCATTTACACTGCTCTACAGTATCCGATTATATAAATACACCCTCACCTTTACATTTATTTTATTGTAGATTTTTAGGTTGCCCCAAGTTTGGCTATCATAACAATACTGATATAAGCATTCTTGAATATATCTCCTCATGCACTTGGGCAAGAGTTCCTTTTGGGTACAGGCACATCTAGGAAGGTCCTACCCAGGTCATAGCAAGAACTGGAATGATATCAAACTAAGTAAAATAGACTATTAAAAGATGCCAACACTGAGATGAAAAAAATGTTGGAGATATCTGACAAAGATTTTTAAATGGATGATGAAAAATGCCTCAATAAGCAACATTAAACCTGCTTGAAATAAAAGAAAAATATTTTCATAAATGTAAAGTTGTAACAAGGAAATAAAAGATATATAAAGAACTACCAATGAAAATTTTAGAGATTAAAAATACAATTATTGAAGAACTCAGTGGAAAAGCTTAACAACAGGAAGACAGAGTCAATGAACTAGAAGATACAACAATAGCATTTACCCAGTTTGAGCAAAAGAGAGAAAACAGACTAAAAAATTAACAGAGCCTCAGAGACCTGTTGGACAATAACAAGAGACCTAACTTTTGTGTCATTGGGATCCCAGAAGGAGAGAAGACCTTCCACATTTGGCAAAAGATAGAAATCCACAGATTTATGAAGCCAAACAAATCCAAAACAAGATAAACAAAAAAATACACCTGAAAAGTTATAGTCAAATTTCTGAAAACTGAAGAGAAGGGAAGAGTCTGAAAAGCAGTGACAGATAAATGACACATTATACATAGAGCGATAACAATCTGAATGAGAGTAGATTTCTCATTAGAAACCAAGAAAGTCAGAAGAAAATGGCACAGTATTTTCCAAGTGATAAAAAGAACAATTAACCCAGAATTCTACATGCAGTGAAAATACCCTTATGGAATAAAATTTGTTGTCATAAGGCCTACTCTATTAAAAATGGCTAAAGTGAGCTCTCCAAACAGAAAGGAACCAATGATAAAAGGAATCTTGGAGCATCAAGAAAGAAGAACGAACACAGGAAACAAAAATATGGGTAAACACGGTAGACTTTCCTTCTCTTTAGAATTTAGTTTTCTAAATTATGTTTGATGGTTGAATCCAAAATTATAACACTGTCTCTGTTCAAAATTTCTATAC